CCATTACTAAAATGTATGCTCTAGTCTCAATATAAAGAGTTGAAAATTCTATAATTTTATTGGCATCTTTACATTTGCAAGTTATCAACACAACAATCTACCTATCACAATATTTGTGATATTCTCTTGATCATTTTACTTGTTAAAATCATTTATCGTAGGCATATTATTTATATGAGTGTATTTGTAAGAAAAATATTTAATGAACATACTCAAGAATAAAATGAAGTTGATAGAACCAATATTATCAACTTAATTTCATTTTTTATAACATATGCAAGTATTCAACAATATGAAAGAAATTCTAAGTGCAATTTCATATATCAATATATTGGTATCAATCCTATAAAACAATTTGCTTCTTAAATTGACAGTTGATTATCTAACACGTATTGATGAATCATACTCACCTTACAATTAATTAAATTCTTAAACTAAACTTGATTAAAAATATATATCTTGGTTAACATCTACTTCAAATTGACTCCTCGTTCACTATATAATACACAAATTGAACCAAACTCTCAAGCTACACACTTGATCCAAAGGTCTATCTTATTCAGTTTCAAGCCAAATAATGGTATTGTTGAATCATTTATGGACATAGGGTCCCTTGTTATCCGTGAATTTATACAATCTGGGAAAGACCTTGCGAAGGAGATATAAGAGAGTTCAAGATTTTCAGAGTATGTGTGTGTTGTTATCCTTGGTGGTGTGGAGAAAGAGGAGAGAAAACTGCTCTTCTTTCTTCCCTTCCTATTTATATCTCCTAGAATGCTCATGTCCCCATGGGGCTACAAAGAAAAAAACAAATGTTATGTTGTTGGTTGTGTTGTACGGAGATTTTGAGAACCATCGCTGATAAGATCTCAGATGTGAACATCATACAGTTAATAAACAGACATAGATGATGATTAAATAGAGTTTGCTTTCCTTCTGTAATGAAGGAATGGTCAACAAAGTTGATGGCATATCTTGATGGATGCAAGCGAGCTCACTGGTGAGGGTGATCTTGATAGAAGAGCTCGAGGACTGTTAAGCAAATTGGTTAGAGAATCTCATGTGATTAATAATTATCAGTGAGTTTAATTGGAGTAGCTCGCATAAAAACTGACATGCTTAGTTGAAGAGACTGCCAAATTCTTTTGAGAGGAAAGTCTAACAGCTTTCACCTTCATGGTTAATGCAAGTATGCACAGTCGGTCTGATCAAGGTTAGTGTTCCAAATTTACGGTAAATGGGCTCAATCCATTAGACCCAATTTTATGGTAAATGTTCCAAATTTTGTGGGATTTCTTATTGTCTTGAAGGTCTATTTTTGTATTTACATTTAGTTCCTCAACTCTCTTAGCTCTTCGATATGACACTGCGAAAAGAATGAGAGAATAAGTATTGGCTTCAATGTTTGATGTCACATGTGTGGGATGTGCAATTGAATGCTAAGGGAGAATATTTCCTCCACTCACAGCCTTCCTCAGTTCAAGATATCCATTACGACCTCCCGGTGCGTGTTTTGGAGCACAGAAGTGGGGTTGCTATTGATTTAGCCTTACTTAGAAGAACTCACCATTGTGTGACAATAAGTTTGATACAGAGCACATATGTGTGTCCATTCTAATGTTTAAAGGTCATGTCCAATCCATTCAAATCTTCTATGGTGAAAGTTAGTAAAGAATCCTCCCACAAGTGTTTTGGAGAAAGTTAGGGTTTAGGGCGATCCACCTGCACGGTGGTCTGGGACACCCGTTGATACTAAAATTTCTAATATAAAACCCTAAAAAATATTTTTTAGGTTATGGGGTCTGTTGACCTCACTTTTGGTTGAGGTCTAGAAACTTCTTTAGTAGCCTAGGTCTAGCCATAGGACTTTCCTATTGACTAGTCTTAGAAAACTAGAAAAGGTATTCTCACCATTAGAAATTCAAAACTCTTCTCTTTGCTCAACTTGAGATTCCACATATTGGTCCTAACCTCTAATATTTAGAAGGTAAGATCATTATGGGAGAGCTCAAGAAGAGTTCTTATAGGGTTACTTGGCCTTAGGATTGACCATGGGTGTTGATTTGAAGCTAAGATATATTATACTCTTACTATATCTTCACAATACATTAATTAAGATCAATACATGAGAGCCCAAAATGGGGATTTCATTGATCCATGGTTCATTTAGAATGGATATCTATCCAATTCTATTTGAAAT